TCCTATAAGAGAGCTGAATCTATCTGTTGTTCTGTTTCATCTCATTGTATGTGAAGCAGAAATTGTTTTGGGCGATTCAGCCCATTTTGGCAAATGCAGACTGGCTCATGGTGGAAAATGTAAGATAAAACAGTGGTGTGCGGCTTTGACCTGCAGTGGGAACTTTTAGAAGGGGAAAGCCTTTAGCTTTTTTTGCTGTTCCTCTGGCAGAATGCACTTGCTCTTTTCCATCGCAGTGCACCATCTACCCTCCACATCTGATATGTGGGATTATAGAACAAGAAAAGCAGCAGTGCAGAGCAGTTTAAGAAAACTGTGTCATGCCTGGGCTGGTGTGTGAGTCAGTGACAAATGAAAGAGAGGAAGGCTTAACAGTCTCTGCTCTGAGCGCTGTCTGTCAGGGAGTATCTTGTTTAGCTCTGTGGTTATGTTTGGAAGGGTTCATTTCCAGTTTGAGCTTGGCAGTAGTTTTTAAACAGTGGCTGATTTTGTTTGGGGGGTGGTGGTAGTGGTAAAAACTATTCCAGAGCCTTATTTAATCTTCTTGTTTTCTTGTCTCTTTGCCTTTTCACTGCAGAGGTTAAAGCCTAAAGGAGGGAGGACAATGAGCATTTCTGTGTCTTTCAGCTCTCAATATATATCGACGCTTTAATCGAGTAGCAGTTGAATGATGTGAGCTGAAATAGAGAAACTTTACTTATAGGAGAAACAATTTTTTCTTTTTTTTTTCTGGGTACCTTACTAATGGCTTCCTGATTCTTTTTCCTTGTTTTTGAAATTGACAAACAACATTGCCTGGGTATTGTTCTCATTTAAAATACTATGCCCTACAGCCATTTGAGGTCTGGTTATAACGTGTCATAAGTTCAGATTGAACTTAAATTTATTTTGAAAATAATTTAAAATGTGCTAAAAAAATAAGATTTCAAAAATGACCTACTTAAGCTATGATTCAGTACTCAAATGGCACAGTCTTCTGAGCAGCATGTAGTAATATGAATACATGGTAGAGCAACTAACTTATTGCCTGTGTTAATGTATAACTGAATAAAGTTTGCTTGACTTACCATTCCATCAATACTATCAAGTTTGCCCGTAATGAAATTGTAAGGAAAACAAAGAAGTGAATGTCAGCAACCCAAATAAAGGAACTCTGACGTCAGTACCTTAACTGCTTTGCCTGTGTGTGACTGGTAGAGTTCTTTAAGAAGTTCACAAATCTGTAATTTTTTTTTTTTTTACTGGAAGTCATTCCAAGTCTTCCACATGGCTCTGAATAAATGCTACAGATGCTAAAAAGCTGGCATAAGAAAAATAATGGCAAGCTCTAAGTCAAGGTGATTAAACTTCTGTAATTTCACAGTTTACTTCACTTAGGCTTGCAGCCAGCCCCCAGATTGTACAGTCAGGTTAACAGAGACCATTATCAGCAAAACCAAGTGGATTTTGGTTCCAGTGAAAACTAAAGGCTACTTTCTTGTAATTATATCTGGAAATACAAGGTGTATTTAAGCAGTTCTTTTGTGCTTACAGAAGACTCTAAGACAGTTTTAGTGTGCAGAATGATTCCATGTATTGAAAAGTCTTTGAAGTTTAGTAAAATGCTATTCCTCCTGTCTCCTCTTTAGCAAACTTCTTTATGCAGTCTCTCTTCATTCTTGAAGCCTTCAACATTATTCTTTGGAACTAGGCCTGGGTTTTGTGTTTCACGGCCTGAAAATATAGGTACCCTTTCCAATATTCATTTCTTCTTTCAAATATGTTGGAAATGAGTCTTGCTCATCATTAAAGTATTTAGGGGTTTATTTTTAGTTTTAAAAATATAGAAGAGTAAGCAAAAGAAAAGGAGTGTATTATGTCTTCCAACATCTGCAAGATCATCTTCACTGTCCTATTATTTTGTAATACTAGACTGCCAGAGATTTCTTTAACAATACTGTATATATTTGTTATATTTTCTAAACAGTCTACCAGGAATGGCTGATATAACGGAATTCTTTGGATTCTTTTAAACAGTAGTCTAAGACTGTATGCCTTCTCCTTCTACTTATTTATTTTCCCCTCTTTTTACCTGATTTATAAGGACTCTGCTCTTTTGCTTGGCAACTCCATTATGGATTTTCTTCTTCTTTTGCCAAGAGCATGGTAGACTGGAAAGATATTCATATTGATTAAATACAACCCAAACTGAATTTGAATATCAGCCAGTGAAAGGGAGAAACTTGGATTGGTCTGTAAGTACAGAACACAAATCTGACCATAAATCACTGCCTATGGTTTGCTTCATAATTGTTCTTCCTCTTAAATGTAACATCTGTCTTCTACTAGTTGCTCTTGTTAGCAAGTGCTTGTCTTGCTGACATTTTCTTAGTCTTGCTGGTTTTAAGTTCACATGTTTTTCGTCTAATGCACATATAGAAATAAAAATCCTGTAATCAAATCAAACTAGACAGAAATTGAACTTTTAGATATGTTTGTAAGTGAAGTGTTTTCCATTGCTGTAGATGATGTTTCTGGAAGCAACTGCCATTAAGAAAAGGTGGAAACCGCTATTTGTATTGAGATACAGATACTTTCATTGTATTATTTTCATTTCCAAATCAACATTAAGTAACACTTGTGTGAATGTTTCTTGTTCCTGCTTATCCAATTACTGTATAAAATACCATTTGACTTTGGATTACAACAGATAAGCTATGCCTTTTTTTCCGAATTAGTGTTGAACCATTCATGCTTCAGTGGCTTTCAAAAAGTCATCTCAATGGAGATTTTTTAAATTTCATTGCTTTTAAGTAGTGTGGTATTGTTTCATCCAATGCTTTTCTCATTCATTTCAAAGTAAGACTGTATTCTGATGTGAAGGTGGGAAAGAGCAATGTAATACCTGACTGGAATTCCTTTACTTTTCCTCCTTGAAAATAACCTAAACAATGCTGCAAGAGTTATCTCCTTCCAGGTAGTAGTTGACAGCATGGCTGTTTTGAAAACAACTGAAAGCTATTTCTGTGTTTGAACTTTGAAGAGCCCTTTAGACTTAACTAGACTGTCTATTTCTTCTTAGTTATGTTCCATGGTTTATTAGAGTTGAAAGAACAGGGTATTTCATACCGTTTATGTATTGGGAAAGGTTGTTACTTATAGGTGCTGTTGCTTATGGGGCTAAAATCTATTACTGGATTTAAGGCCAGGAAAGGTTCTTTCGCTGGAACGTGATGGAAGGAGGCAGTAGTAGGGAAACTAATATAATACAAGGAAATACCTTTCAGTGTTTGTTAGGGCTGTATTGCATGGTAAAACTTGGAAAAGTCTCAAGCGAGGGATTGTTTGATTAAAATCAATTCCAATATGAAAAAATCTAGGTTATTAGATACAAGTATATTTTTAAAGCAACCAAATAAAAAAAAAACAATAGTCAAACAAAAACCTTCCCATTTAATTCTTCCTTAGAGCACCCACTTGTAGGCAAAAAAGTCATATTGATATTTGTGGTAGATACTCTGACCTTTTAGTTATTTGTTATAAGTCTTGTAGATTGAATCTGTTGCTTTAGAGGAAATCTTTAAGCTGTCAACCAGGTTTTGCTTTGGAATAAATGTCTTAGAATTTTAAATATTACCCCTTCAAAAGTGAGCCTATTCACAGACTTTTTATGCAGGTTTTCCTGCTAGTATCCATTTTTAAATTCTGTATTCTCAAGTCATTTGCTTCTTTTGTCAGTACACGGATCTGTATCTTTCCATTTCACATGTGTTCAAAAGAACCACCATTCTAATTGGTTGTGCTACTGTATTTGAAATTCTAGGAAGGGTTAGCTACAGAGAAGCATATATATTCTGGAGTATTTGTTGATTTTGTTTGGTGCTGATTTTGTTTGGTTTTGGTTTTGTTGCTCCTGTGCCTGGAAAAATAACATTGCAGCATTTGAAAGATCACTTATTCTGTAAGCTTTACTTTCCAGCAGGTTGAGGGAGGTGATCTTTCCCTTCTGCTCAGCACTGGTGAGACCTCCTCTGGAGTAGTGAATCCAGTTCCAGGCTCCCCAGCATAAGAGAGAGACAGGGACATATTGGAGCCAGTGATAGGCTCCAAAGATGGTTAAGGTTCTGGAGCATCTCACATATGAGGAAAGGCTGCGAGAGCTGGGTCTTTTCAGCATGGAGAAGGCTTAGAGGAGATCTTGTTAATGTATATAAATACCTGAAAGGATGACGCAAAGATGGCAGAGCCAGGCTCTTCTTGGTGGTGCCCAGAGACAGGACCCAGGGCGATGGGCACCAGCTGAAACACAGCAGGATCCCTCTGAACATCAGGAAATGCTTTTTCACTGTGAGGTTGACTGAGAACTGGCCCAGGGTGCCCAGGGAGGTTGGAGAGTCTCCATCCTTGCAGGTACTCAAAAGCTGCCTAGACATGGCCCTGGGCAACTGACTGAAGGTGGCTCTTGTTGAGCAGGAGGATTGTACTAGACAACCTCCAAAAGTGTCTTCCAACCTCGACTGTTTCGTCATTCTGTGACTTTTCAGTTCAGAAGCTGCAGTATTGGAATTCGTCATCTATTAAAAATACAGCTTCCTCTTAGTTTTTACTGTGCAAATGATGGTCGACCCTTAACAAATGTTGATTATTGAGCATTAAATGTTAGACTAATATTTTGTGCAGTCTTTGGATGTTTGGTGATGTTCTTAAGATGATACACTGCTAAGAATTATATTTTTTGTTGTGCTTTTCTTTCTAAAAGTTGGTTTGGGGTTTGGGTTTTTTTGCTTTTTTTTAAATGAACTGATCATATTAGCAGCCGTTAGTTTATGAAGACTTGCAGTACTGACTTTCCGTAAAACTGTATTCTTGGGGAAGATGAAACTTTGGATTTTTTTTTTTTTTCCCCTCTCCTGAAGTCACCAGTATTCTATGTAAGCTATTGAAGTAAAACAAAGATGCAGTTGATTTCTTCAGTAAGGAACAGGGAATAACGAAAATTATAATCACTTTTTTCACTAATTTATTCTTGGCTTTTTTGTGTATATACAGAGCACAAAGTAATCATAGTGGGACTTGATAATGCTGGAAAGACTACTATTCTTTACCAATTGTAAGTATATTAACTATTTTGTTTTTCTGTTTAAATTTTAATATTTATCACTGTTTAATCGTAGGAAATTCAGCTTTGCAAACTGGCAGTATCTCTAGGGTTCTAGATCACATTTTTCTACACAGATTAAATAGTGAAGGAACTGTAGTGTTTTAAAATTAAACTGTACATTTAATAACAAAATCCTACATACAAGCACAAAATGAACTGCAGATTCTTTTGCCATCAAAGCATACCTTTATTTGTAAGCATAGAAGCAATCCTGTCACCAAGAACTGCAAAGAATAAAGTGATTTTTAAATTAATGGAAATTCTAGCCACTCAGCAAAAATTCGTAAAGGTTTCTAGATGTTTCCTGATTCTAGTGTCTAAAATTTATGAGAGAGGCCTCATCAAAATAGTATTTCATTTTTCCTGGGTCTTACCTTAAATATTTTCAGTAACACCATTGCACTCAAATCTTGCCAGCATTACACACATATCTGTGATGAATTCAAGAATATTGGCAGGAACATAATTACTGTTATAATTGTGGAACAGGAGGAGGGTGTAGCCAAATTACTGTGAGTATCTTTGGATGCAAAGGCACCATAAGTACTTCCTAAGTACTTTTGACAAAGTTTAAAGGTAGAACTGAGAATTTTTCAGCTATGTAAACAAACACTGCTTTCTAATTTGTTTTAATATTGAATTCGTAAGTTGAGTGCTCTAATAAATTTATATTGTTTAGTATTTTTCACAGTTCCCCTAATTTAGGATCCTAAGAATATCACCTTCTACTTTGAAACAAGTGCATTTTAAGTATCTGTTAAAGAGTGTCCTTTAAAAAGAGAAGCCTCTTAAACTTAGATGCTTATCCATTTGTCATAAGCCTTTTATGTGCTCAATTTTCATTGCTGATGTCTTTAAGCATATCTACAGTGTCTGCTACAAGAGCACAACAGAACTACATAAACCACAGTTTTTAATCAAAATTCAGATTGAACTAATCTTCTTGCTAAATAACTGCTCTTAAATATTTGCTCTATATCTTTAATTTAGGTGTGTAGCTTTTTGAAATAGGCCTACTTTTAAAATAATCAGTTACACATATTTACATTTTCTACAACACATTTGTTATAATTGAGCTGTGACAGATGCTGTGGATTTTACTGGCTGGTCTTTATGGTGTGATATTGTTTCCTTTAGCTTAATGAATGAAGTGGTTCATACTTCTCCAACCATAGGAAGCAATGTAGAAGAAATAGTGGTGAAAAACACTCATTTCTTAATGTGGGATATTGGAGGACAAGAATCGTTACGGTCATCGTGGAATACCTATTATTCAAACACGGAGGTATGAGAAGCTGCTTCAAAATCTATTCAAGAAGATTGTTTGAAATTAAATTTATTTATTTATTTATTAGGAATATTGGAAGACCTCTATAAAGATTGCAGCTATATTGTTTTTTAAATTCTTTTGAGGAAGAACAAACCCAAAAAGTGTAAGGTGTCTCTGGTGTGCAGCCAATTTTCTGTTATTATTTTAAGTAATTTTCCTGTATGCTTTAAAGTAATGTTGTTTGATCTGTGGTATAAACTGTGAAATTAAACTTTTATCCTAGACTTATCAAAATACGTTTCAGATCAAACAGGGATTTTGCATGGGTTTTTTTAGTAGATGAAATAGTTTTGCAACTTACTCTGCAAATTTGGTGCAGATTTGCAGTGGATAACCTAGTTTCTGTACATCTAGTCTGACATGGTTTTGAAATAACGATAATTAAGGATAAAGAATTAAACTTTCTCTAGGCATCAGTATTTAAAAAGCTTATCAGCTTGTGGCTTTTACCTGAACAATAAAGTAAAGTCTACCTGTGCAATACTCATGAGGTACTGGTAAAAGCTGTCACTGCTGGAAAAGCCAAAGTAGAACTTGGCAACAGTTTCCTTTTGGGGATTTACTTTTTTATGCCAGTCTTTCTGATGCCAAAAGTTTATCAACGCAACAGTTACATGAAATCTCTGTAGCCTCATTTTGAGACCTCTACATTGATGTAAAAGATTTTTTACTTGTTTTCTTACCATTTCTATTAAGAGTAGAGATCTCATGTAGATATTATATAAAAGTATTCCATTCTCCTGTAAAATGAGATCTTCTGTCCTATACTTCTCTTTGAGAGAGGGGAGTTTAGGGGGATCCACCATAGATGTTCAAAATTTCTTACATGCTGAAAGCCTGGCAATGACATCCCAACCTTCATCTAGTGTTTTAAACTTCATTTTATCTAGAAAAGTATGTCTACATCTATTACACATGAGGGTGAAGAGACTTCACCAGCATTATCTGGTACAATAGCAATATGTTCCTGACATTTGTCTCTTGACGATCTTTGGTTTTGGAATTTGGGGAGATGCATATGTTAGTTCTTTTTTTTTTTTTGATCCTTTTGGGATGTTCTTCACCATATTCTAGCTAGTAACTGTTTGAAATCCAGTGCTTTGTAGTACTTGGAAAGAATTTTCCCTTTACTTAGAAGCTTTGTCTGATGGAAACAGTTGAGGAAGAAAAGAGGTCTATTTAGTATGCTAATCCTAGCCTCCCTGATATTAATAATTCCTTTACTGTTCCTCCTCATCTGCTAGACATCTCGAAGTCACAGCAGCTTTAAATTGACTTCTTTTTTCATACTTTAGTGGTTTTCAATAAGCAATAAATTTCCTTAATTTTATAAGGCAAAGTGATTTGGAGCATATGTTGGAAAATTATAGTGGTGACTTCTAATCCTACTTTTTATTAAGCTCTCTTTTTTTTTTTTCCTCTCTTTTCTTATCTGTAAATTGAAGCAATCCAAACAAGATCGTTAGAGTAATGTAAAAATCCCACAAATAAGCTCTTCAGCGCTTACCTGTCCAAATTAGTTTCAACTTGACATGGCTAATTTCCATTCTGTTTTAAGAGTCGGATAGTATTATTACAGAAAGGATGTTAATACAGACTCTAGCGCAAGATTTGAAAGGAGAGGAGAGGGAGCTCTCACAGTTAAATCACGGAGGGGAGGCAAACAAAAAAAGAGCTGTGATAAAACCGAAGAGGGATGGAAAGCTATTCCCATCTGCAAAGAGAAGTGATGGAGTCTTTCAGGTGAATGTAATCTTCTTGGTTGCCTCTCCAGTGCAGCATGTGTTCTGTGTAATTGTATATTTGTTTTTTCATATTCTGTCCATAATTTTCATCACAACATGCTTGATCTCCCTACTTGCTGTTCCCACCCTCAGTTCTGTTAGCAGTGCTTGAAGCACGCTTTGAGCAGGGCAAGCGCTAAACACGGATCAATTGTTTTGGTTTGCATACACATACTGTTGTATAATGCTTACAAGCATTTACTTGAGGATTACCTACTCTGTGGCCTGTCTTTTTTTTCCTGTCTAGTATAAGGCTATAAAATAGAAGGTACAAAACAAGGGGTAGAAAGAGTGGGGTAAAACTGAGTGACATTTGCTTCCCACGCGTGATACCCGAGCAGTCTCTCAGGACTCACAAGTGGGTGGCCATGAGAGTGATGTGCCTGGCAGGAGCAGGAAGCGTAACATCACCGCCGTCACCGTCTTCGAGAGCCTGGGTGGAAGGGTGCAAAGTTTTAAATGAGAGGCTGACTGCACAGGTCCTTCACATTACAAAAATTAAAGTGGTGTGTAACAATGTAATGCTGAGCTCTACAGGTACATAGCTTTCTGAGATCTGATGTGTAATACTTTGCAACAACATTTCTGAAATCTTGTGAGTGTGATGATGCTGAATTGCTAAAAAATGTCCATTTCAAAATAGAGACATTCTTTTTCAGTTTTATAGCTTTCTGAATATACTAGTGGACAGTAATAGTTGTTTTATTGATGACTGTGTAGCAAGTTTGTCATCCACGTTTTAATTGGAGTCCACTCTCTATAGTTGCTTATCATACCTACATCGCTACTTTGTCTATGATGTAGGAGCTGAAAATCCACCAAGGAGATTTCATTGTGGTACTTGAAAGTGGGTATTAATAGCAGTGCTGAAATGTACAAGCACAATCCTTTTTTCTTATTTTTTTTCCTTTTTTTTTCTTATATTTTTTTTAAGCTAGAATCTTCATGTATGATTCCCAAGGCCCTGGCAAAAGACTGTAACAATAAACCTTGTTCTATTTTCTGGAGTACTTTGAAAGTCTGTGTCACTCTTCTGGAAAGACTTGTGGTAGTGGCCTCTTGAAAACATACTTTCTGTAATTTAGTCTTTGTACTTACATACTGTACTATTGTTTTTTCCCCTAGTTCATCATTCTGGTTGTTGACAGCATTGATAGAGAGCGACTTTCTATTACAAAAGAGGAGCTTTATAGAATGCTGGCTCATGAGGTAGGATAATAGTTTGGGATTTTTTTTATTGTGAACAGTCAAATAACATTACATGCTTCCCACGTCAACAAAAATTATACTCTCAGAAAAATATTTCTGAGCCTAAATATGCATGCATGTTGGTCACATTTTAAAACCATGCATATTATAAATAAACAGGAAAATTACTATGAAGCACTTCTATTAGGGCTTGCTTGATTGTAGCCAAGTCACTCTGCAAGTGTTCAACTTGTAAAGTATCTAAAACTTCATACCAATGTAACTGAGTATTACTGTTCTAATCCTTAAAATTAAGGAGTATATCTAATACTATGGATATATTAGATTCGTTTTCCTTTTGAATTATCTTGTTTGTAGTTTTATGTATTTTCTTGAGGACTGTTCTGTATTAGATTACCTAAAGTATGTAAAAAAAACTTCTGTGATCACTCTCAAGGTAAATAAGAGTTGTTTAAAATCTAAATATCTCCCTTTATTTTTGAAAGAAAGGAATTTAGTGCAACACAAGTAATTCTGTGGAGTTCATTTCTCCGAGATATTTACATTGTTTTAAATGAGTTTTTTACTTTATAATTAATGTACTCTGAATCTGGTAATAAGGAGCAAATATACTACCCAAGAAGGTGGAAAGACAACTTTTTGAGGTGAAATTTTCCCATGTAATTCAATAGTTTTGAGTGTGCTAAACTCTGAGATTGTGATCTACCACCACTTGATAACAGTTGATAGGCCTAGACTGGACTACTTTTAGGAGTGAATTTTCAGCTTTGGACCATAAAGGATTGGGTTTTTTTTCTCCTGATGGACAAATAGTCTCGAAATTTAATATACATTTAAATGTGTTGAATACTTAATTACAACTGTCAGCTTCCTGAATATTGCGTTTGTTTACCTTTCTACATTCCTAAAACTGTACATCCCAGTTCTGGTCTCGTTACTGTGTGTAATCCTAGTTTCTATTCAGAAACAAACCAGCTTTTTATTAGTTTCTGTTTTTATTAAAGCTGTTGCCACATGATTAGAGTTCCCTTTTTGGAACAATAGGATAAAACTTACAAGAATTTGAATAGCTTCCTTCAACTGTTACTGCATTAATCACTAAAACTTGTTTAATGAAGTTGTTAGTAATTTCATTTGAATAGTATCTAATGTAGATTTTGGAACGTTTATCCAGTAATAATTCTACTGGTTTGGAGCTTTAGGAAACATTTTTGACAAGACTTTCATTAGATAACATATGAATATGTGGTCGAGACCAAAAGCGTAATCATATAATACATTGTATTTTGACCCTCTGTGTTGGAGAACAATTCTGAATAAATTGGTTTCTTCAGCCTTAATGTAATTAATTTTTAATACAGTGTGTACAGCGTGTCTGCTAAAATTCCATGCATGTAGATTAGTTTGAATAGAGTTCTTCTAAAAACTTTAGTTAATGTAGTAGCCTTTTAGTTCTTTAACTATTATGAATATTCTAAATTATTTCCAGGATTTACGGAAGGCTGCGGTTCTCATCTTTGCAAATAAGCAGGACATGAAAGGTTGCATGACAGCTGCTGAGATATCCACATACCTCACGCTTAGTTCCATAAAGGATCACCCGTGGCACATTCAGTCCTGTTGTGCTTTGACAGGAGAAGGGTAAATGCTTACTTTTTAATGTAGTATATATGGTAAATGAGAATACTGAGTTAGAAGCCTATCGACGCCAATGTGGACTTCCTGAAAGAACATGTTTTTTGATCTTTACAGTGAAAGGGATATTTCAGATTTTTCCTTGTTTTTATGGCTCAAACTCCCAATTTGTGTGAAAGTCTTTCAGCTTATTGTTAAAAACAAAAGAAAACCCAAACACCACGACGAAAGTGCCCACCATGCAAATACGTAGCTGTTGGCCTAACTGTTTACTTTGTGTGCGCTACCCTCTCATTCTGTGTGTCTGTGTAGTTAAAGAAATAAGCTACTTCATCTTCCTTTATATTCTGATCTGCCATAAGCTTCTAAGGTGGTGGTGATGGGGTGTTTTCCTTTCTTTCTTTTTTTTTTTACCTTGGATTTTTTGATAAGCATTCAAACATAATTTTGATGGAAGATCTGACATAAGTCTAGGGAGATTAGCCCTATATGAGTAATGTACTTCAGAAAGGTAAAGCTAAAACATGACATAAATTTGGTTGCTTGATCCCTAGAACCTCAAAAGAAAGCCTATCTTCTGAAATAGAAGATTTTTAAATACAGATGCAAATTGAGTGAGTAAGCAAACTAGATCCCATGTGTTATTGGTGTTGAATATAAACATATTTTTAATTTTGTCATGGGGTTTTGGAATTCTTGATACATTGCCCTTTCAGGAACCAATTCAGTCTGATACCTGTCCACGTCTTTTGGTGTTACTATGTAAAGGTCTGTCTTTCAAGTAAGTAGTCTTTCATGGGAAATGTGTAGAAAAAGAAAAACTTACTTGGTTGTATATATTTGTGAGTAAGCATGTTAAGAATAGTGGATTTTAGATATACGAGGAAAAAAACTGGAAGTGCCAAGTTTCAATAAAAAGCATGCTTGACCATCTTCTTGTAGTTAAGGCCTAAGTAGACAGCTTAAAACACTACTTACTCTCAAGTTTCAGTCCCAGTTCCAACTGATTTTACATAGATGTTTTTAAACATAAGAAGTAGAAAATACTTTTAAAATATTGAACTAGAACAAGTGCCAATATAACATCTCTTATCTTTCAGGTTATGCCAAGGCTTGGAGTGGATGACATCCCGTATTGGAGTGAGATAGCCGCCTTTTGCCTTTTTTTTTTTTTTTTCTTTTTTCCTCAAGAGAAGAGACTTCTATTTATCCTGTGAACACGTACATTTTTTTCTGTACTTCTAGCTGCTGAGGCAGTGACCATGTTTAATTTATATCAGTCAACCCTCAGGCTGTACTTGAATCAAGTGCACTTGAACTGAAACACTAAAGTATTTTCTTACCTTTTTTTAATACACTAATCTTCGACTGGATGAACATACGTGAATCAGTTTTTAAGCATTGAAATTCCTCTAAATATGTATTCTAGCTTTTTCGATTATAGCTTTTTAAAATCTGTTTTATCATTGTCAATATTTCATAGTTCCTCTTTCTAGATAGTTTATATAACTTACTAACATAAATGAGCACAGTTTGTTTAATAATGAAAAAATAGCGAGTAGGTTGACTTCGCTCTGGCATAGCTTTAGCCTCCAAGGATAACCATATCTCCAGCTGGGCTTCCTGGAACATCATTAGTTCTAGCCAGCACAGGAGTTAATAGTTATGAATGCAAATTTTTAAATGCTGAATGAGTTAGTTTTAGTCAATATTGTGGTGTCTTTTAACCTGGTATATAACTGAACTTCTGCCTTAAAAGAAAACTATTTTGTTCTCAGTTTCTCTGAGTAAGTAGTTCTAGGATGTCATTCTTTTCTGATTTTACTTGAAAATACATCTCTGTACAGTGCATAAAAATTTTGTTACTAAGCACTGGTTTAGTCATTTAGAACTCAAATACCTTTTTAAAAATAAACGTCTTGATCATTAGATTTGGAATCATGGCAGCCAGTGTTTTGTGTAGAGTTGATGTAATCTGTTCAAATTTTAAACACTGTACACATGAGCTTTTCCTCACCTTTTAATGAGAGTGCTATTTTCTAAATGAGTGCCAAATCAAAAGGGAAGGCAGATTTATAAACAGTACAAAACCATGGTGCTCTTATCTGTAGACTTCAGAGTGAAGCTAATCTTGACATTTATTTACCTATAATCAAATATGATTTCAAATTCTGTTGTAGAGAAAATATTTTGCCTTAATTTTTGTTTTCAGTCTTACTTACAGGAGCAGGGAACTTTTGATGGTGTTCAAGTTAGATTCATTCACCTGAAATTTAGGAAACTAAAGTTTGAAAGAGTAAAGGGCTTTCATTTGAAAAATAGGCATTGAAATATTGGACCTAGTAACTCTTAATTCAGTTAGAAGGGGGTGAAGTTAATTGAGAGATTAGATGCCAAAAAAAAATAAAAACACCACCAAGCACCCCCAAAATATCTGAGGTGGGGGGAAGATTAAATAAAACAAAACAAATAGTGGGCACCCAATTCCTAGCAGCAGTCCAGGATCTCATTTATGTAAATGCTTGGGAGGCTTTGCAAGAAGCACCGTTCTGCATTTTTGCATGCCTAAAAAACATGTGGAGTCTAGTCAGTTAGCACTATGGTTCCAATAACCAGTGTCCTTTAGTGACAACATGTTCTCAATAAATCTTGAGTTAGTAATTCAAGAATACTGACTTTTCTTTACTAAAATTTTAAGTTTGGGAAATTTCAGTTTGATTCTATTTTTATTTGAACAAAGCTTTATGAAATTTTAAAAGTTTCAGCAAATATGTTGTTGTAAGTGTTAAAAAAGACTTGGAATATGTGTGGAATCAGTGATTGGTTGTGTGAAGTTATATATTCATGCCGGTTAGCAAAAGTCACGTTTAGGAGAAAGACTATGTTGAGCGTCAAGTCAAAATGCTCAGAAAATAATTTACATCAGTGAAAAGCAGTGCTTAAAGAAAAAGGAATGCAAGGCAAGATTAAAATCTGATACTAAAGCTTGCTCTGACATTGATGCGAACAACGGCTCTAGTGTGTGAAAATAAGATTTGTTTTGTTCTTAGGGAAAAAATAATAAAAGAAAAAAATAAAATGATACTGTGAACAAGGTTTCTGGTTTGGTCACTTAATTTCATTTTGCAATTTAGTTTTATTTTCAGGTTTATTTTATGTAATTCAGGATGTAGTCCTAAATATTTATAAAAACCACTGTCAGGTTGTATAGCACTTTGTCTGAATAAAAAAAAAACAAACCTTGATTGTATAGTCTGGGTATAACATTCATAAACTTATAATTTGATTACTAAATCCAGCCTCACCTGAAGTAATACATCTAACTTTGGTTAGGAGGCAATGGTTATATTTTATAACAGAGTAACGAATGTTTTCTCTTAATTCCTTAACAAGATCTCCAAATATCTTTACAGAAGGAAACATTATTGGCAATAAGTATGATTTCTGTCACCTTACTACTTAGTTTTCTACAACAGTTATCCGTTTATGATAGTGGTTTCTTCAGAGCATTTATGTTGTGGTTTGGGTTTTTTTGAAAAAGGCCTAGTGTGGAGTTTGGTGGGGGGAGGGGTATTTTTAATCACCTTCAGAACCTGTTAAACTAAAAGTCATTTGATTAAAGTAATATTTACGGTAGCATCCTTTAGAACACTGCATGTGTCTTTGCCCTGCCAAACGCTGCATCATTTTTGTTAATCTGTATGTAGTAAATATATTGCAGGAAGTTTTTGCACTCTTAAAATATTTTGCATTTAATACACTGTTCATAAAGAACACTGTTAATCACCTTGTCAGAGGAAATTACAAAGTAATTGCAAAGTATCACAAAGATACTTCTTCTAAATAACCAATTTTACTCAAAATACAAGGTATTATAATAAAGTAATTGATATACGTGCTATAGTCACTTTATAAAATCAGACCCATTGTGTTAAAATAATGCATCATATTATGAAAGAAATAGTTCTGATTTGTTTAGCAGCCTCTACGAGCATGGACCTTTGAGCAGTTTTTGTCACGCTTGGATGGGGTTGGCACGATCCGCTTTGTGAAGGGAGTCTTTGCAGAGTTCTAAGCTCTTTTGATTAACTGAATTTGCTTAGTTTATTTGAAGTGGAATTAAGCTTTACAGTAAGACTTTCTCCAATGTATTAGGCTGTAATTGTTACTAGGTAGTTCCAGTAGTAATTTTAATATTTCCTTCCCTGTTAGTGCTTTTAAGACTGAATAAAGCCTGATTGCATAAAGGAAAAATAAGCTGGCTGATTGAGTAGTGAGTGTACTATCCTTCATAGCTTTTTTTTGTCCAGCTGACTTATCTGCTTCACTAATATGTGATAAGTGAAAGCTATATACTAAGGAAAAAAATATATTTTGTGAGAATAAAAAGTTACTTTTCCTATTGTACCACTGAGCGCAGTGAAGTAGGTCATTTGTGGTTGAGAAGGAAACTTTCCTTTCTTTACAGTTCCCAATTACTGTAGCGTGCAAATATTCAAGTATTCTCTACTATAATTTCATATAGTGAATTTTGAAAAGTTCATTTGCTCTTTGTAAACTGAAATGCCCACTGTAAAATAAACAATTTGAATGTTTTCAGTTTTGAAAATAATATTCTGCAGTCAAACTGGTAATTGTTTCACCATGTAAATATTTTAGCAGGTGCTTAAATAGGGTTTTGGGGTGGAAAAAAGCTCTGGTGAAAAAAGTGTTCAATTTTGTGCTCATCAGGTAATGTTTTTAAGAGACTGTGCCATCATTTGTGCTCTCTTTTTTTTTCCTTTAAAAAAATAAAAGCTTCTGGGCGAAACATGATTTATAGCCAAATATTTACAAACAGGTCAGTAATTTGAGTTGTGAAAATGGGAGTGTGGGATGAGAAGTAGAGCACAATTTCTGTTTTTCTCTTCAATCCCAACACTGTTTCGAAAGGATAGGCTTTAAACAGGAGATACTTGTTCAGTGTCTTTGCCTCATGTTAGTTTCGACCTTTTTAATGTAGCATGTTTTCTTTTTCTCAGCAATTCCAAAAATCCTCTCAAAGAATAAAGGGGGTTGAAGATTTTCTCAAAGCAGAAGGGTCAGAGTAGTAACATAAGTTTATGTGCTTATATTTACATGCTATTACCCAGATGTGATGGCTTCTCTTGCATTGGAGTACAGCTCCACTGAACAGTGGCCTTCCTGAAACCATACTTGTTATTATGTGTAAAAAACAAACCAAGAAACTTTATGTGCTTTAGTTCCTTAAGTTAGTGGAAAGACAAGCATATGTTAAATGAAGAGAAATCTCTGTGAATGTAAAACGACAATTAGAGAATTTGAAGTAGTTCAAAACTTCTGTAAGACTATGGAAAAGTCACTGTAGCTTGTCAAATCTGACAAAATATTGCTTTGTTTTCTGAAAACTAAACCTGGAACATGTTAGCTTTCATCAGCACAGAAGTTCTCCCTTTGGCTGAATACAACTGCTTTGTAATTTACTTCATTAAGTGCAATGTTCAATCTGTTCAAGAGGTCCTGAATCTGAATTGAAGGGGTTTTTCACCATTCATGAGTATGTTCATGGCAGTTTGCGTTAAGACTGTACTTTATCTTAGTACTCATCACTGGAGGTCAGGCTTAGGAAATGAGCTGTCTTGATTTCTTGATGGTGCCTTACGAAGTTCCATCCTGTCTCTTAAACTTGAGCACTTGTCCTTTTACTTTTTTCTTCCCTCTACTCTCCCCCTCCACTCCAAGGTATCGTTGCCTTGTGCTGTCTTGTCTAAAGATGCTGACAAAGGCATGTGAGGTACTGTAAGGAAGAAAAAATAAAAGTCATATACTGTAGGTTTTCAAAGTAAGCTTCATTTTCCTCATCCAATCTCATTTCACAGTTACCTCCCTTCCTTTTTTTTTAAGACACAGCTTAACTAAGACATGTTCGTGTTGACCCTCTAGCCCTGAGCAGTCTTCATTTGCAAGGCGTGGCTGGGCAGTCTACTAGCTGGATGTTCTCTGGAACCTGGACAACAGTTTCTGGTTCAGGAGCCCAGAATTCCTGTAGCTTGGCCAGGTAAGCTCTGCTGACTTGGGGCCCGTGTCACAGGTTCCTCCAAGCGGGCCCAAGTCGTGCCTGTGGGTGCTAGCACTTCTCTAGTCACACTGCAAGTTCTTCTGTATCAAGTTTGTCTTATTATTTACCACTGAGATTTTTCCAATGAAATGTGTGCTGTTACCTTGATCTTGCAAGAGACCTTCCTTTTTTTTTTTTGTTTTCTGTGAACAACAAATTCCATAAATATAATATCTAGATCTATTCTTTTGCAGCAGCAGCAGTATTGGTCTAGTGTCAAACTTCTCTTTGTGCTGTGCAAGCATATACCATGTTCCAGTTCAAAAATTAGGGTGTCGTATACAGATTTATATTATACTGCTGCAAATACGTTGGCATGTGTTCCTTCCTTTGTTTAGTTTTTGAAATTTCTTGCCTAGGTGGTAAAGAGCCAGGTATTCTTTCTGGCTATTTAAGCATATTGCACACAATAATGGGAAGAGGTCTTGGGCGGAGCTACTCTGTATTTTTTTTAAAAATGAAAATGAAATTAACTGAAGAGTTGTGTGTTAATTTGTAGTGTGCTGGGGTTTTTTTAAATTTTTCTCCTGTGGTGAAGAGGTATCAAGGTAGAGTAACATTGTCACTTCAGTGTAGGTGTTAGGGAAAGCACTT